GGGAGGGGGGAGGGTGGGGGGGGGGGGGGGGGGGGGGGGGGGGGGGGGTAGGAACTTGGGAACCGCCCCCCCTATGAAAAATTTCTGTATCCGCCACTGGTAACAGATATCAAATTCTTCGTTTCCACTGAGAATAAAACGATGGAAAATGCGAAAGCATCGCCAGATCGGAAGCAGTTCTACATATAGAAATATTCTCATCCTACGTTCATTGCGATGGGAAGCAGAAATCATTTCGATTTCGGAACATGGTCTCATCTCGATGCAGTGCCTGAACAGGCTTTTGGGGGGGGGGGGATTAGGATTAGCTCCCCACCTCAATGGGTGGGGAGATAATCATGGTCCTCTCCATCCCCTGGAAGAGGAGGAGGGTGAGGTGGGGCAAGAGTACCCTGGAAAACACATACTTGCGCTTTGCAGGATGATAGAAAAAGATACTGGCAAAAATATTTGCACAAATTTTGATTTCTACCTTCTTCAAACCGTGACCAAGAGATTCCAATGACGTCCAGAATTTTAATCGGTATTGGAACCTCCGGAAACATCTATATGATAGATTCTACTGTGGTCCGTGGCATGCGCGCGCACACGTGACATACACGTGCTCCGAGAGCGATCGCGTGTGCTCTCCCCAGTCTTCTGCCTGCCTCTGGGTGTGCGTTTTCCTCTCTCGGGCGAGCTTTTTTTCCCGGTCGTTATGACTGTCGGATATATTACCGAGAGCGTTAGAGACCCTGGGGGAGAGGGGGAGGGGAGAGTTCGGAAGAAATGCAAGGACGAAAAGGAAAAAGACGGTGGGAGCGAGAATTGAACCGAGGGAGGCCCTCGATTCAATTCTCGCTCCCACCGTCTTTTTCTCCCACCTCCCGTCTCCCACCTCCCGTCTCCCTCCTCCCGTCTCCCTCCTCCCGTCTCCCTCCTCCCGTCTCCCACCGTCTGCGTGCTGGTGAAGTCAGCTACCACTACACCACCGAACCCAATTTCGATATATCGCATGACATCCCTAGAATTACAATGGGAGAGAGGCATCCTGCGCACGCCCCCAGCTTACTACCCAAGGGGGTCCGATACGGACTTTTCATACAGGGATGTGTAAAAGGTTCCAGCGTATTTCACTCGCTCGTCCCCTTTCACTCAGGCTTATATGGAAAGCGGCGGAGACGGACTTGAGAGACGATACGCACAGGGTCGCGATCGATCCTGGATATGAGAGCAACTCACTAAAAAGTCCGTTTCATTGGCGTGAATACCCCCTTGAGGAAGGGGGGGGGGGGGGGGGGGGGGGGGGGCTGGGCG